TTGCCCATAGCAGCGGGTGGCTCAAACCAAGAGTTTGCCCCAGAAGGGGTCATGCTTCATGACTCTCATCTTCGCTGTGACCTGTGGCTCGTCTCAGGCTTCCCGACACCAAGTCAAAAATGGGCATGGTGTCTACAAGCCTCCAACCACCCCATGCCTGGGTTACAGGCCAGTGGAAGAGAGGCTCTGACCCCCCTGCAAGGGAGGTGACAGAAATGCCTGGACAGCTGGGGGGGGTGTGTGACAAAGAGGGCGTACCCGTGTCCCCAGTCCCCACCATCACCACTGTCACCTGCTCGGCAGAAGAGATTAAAGACCCCACCTACACCAGACCCTAACAGTGGGCTGTCCTCCCAAACACACGGCCAGTCCTTCTCAAGATGCTCAAGATTCCAAAGACAGGGGCTCCTGAGAAACTGTCACGGCCAGAGGAGTGAGGAGATGTGACCAGTAACTGTAAGGTGGGCTCCCAGCACATCAAAGGGGCCTGAGGGGAAAACAGGAAAGCTGAACACAGCACGGACTTTACTGATGTAACACATCTGAACTGATTCGGGGCCGTGATGCAGCGACTGTGCCCCGGTTAGCTTTAACTGTTGGGGAAACTGTAAATTTGAAACTGTACTTTCTGTAAATCTAAAACTATTCTAAAAAAATAGTCATTAAACCAAATGAGTGAGCCACCAACCCCAGTCAGAATCTCCATCTCCTGGTGCCTTTCTCCCTGGTCCAGGCGGCCCCAGAAGGACAGTCCACTGGGGCCACCCCAGCCTAGGAGTCTGTCTCTACGATAACACTGTCATTGGCTGGGGCTGGAGCTGGCACCCTCCGGGGAACCCCAGAGACCACACTCACCCTGAGGCGGCCCCCACAGGAAAGCCCACACCTCCGGGTTGACTTCCCCTGCACCTGCAGCCCCCACCAGAGCGGGAAGCTACAAAGGGCAGGGGCAGACAGGAAACCCTATCCACTGGGCACCCACTTTAGTGCTGATCTAGCTCAGATAACTCTCGAAGCCTGGCCCAGGACACGTCAGTACTCATCACTCCATTTTACAGATGGGGAAGCTGAGGCTTTGCTACATGAAGTGATTTGTACGAGGCTGCAGTTATTCTGGGACACACCTCGGAACTGAACTCAGATCCTTCTGACCCCAGCGCCACGTCACTAGTGTTCTCAAGCTTGAGCAGGCACCGGAATCTCCCAGAGGGTTTGTTAAAACCACCCCCAGAGTTTGACTCAGTAGGTCTGAGAGGGAGCCCACACGTCTGACCCGTTCCCAGGTGATGCTGAGGCTGCAGGTCTGGGGGCCCCACTCGGCTGTTTCCTGGGCAGTGCCACCTGTTGCTGGTCAGGGGAGAGAACGTGCTCACAAACCAGGGAAGCCACTCACCCCTCCCTGTTGCCTGCTAAGCCAAGCCCCTCCTGACTGGCCATGGGATGTGGAGCAGGTGAGAGTGCCCTGTGCCTCGGTCTCCCTATCTGTGAAGTTACCGACACTGTCCCGCTGCAGTAAGCATGAAATAGGCAAATCGAGGGACCCCATTCCGGGAGCAATGCCTGGCTTGCAGGGACGCCTGGCCTGTGCCAGCTGTTCTACCAGAGAGCACAGAGGAGGTGCCCTTGGGCCAGTGGAGCATTCCCACATGTCACAGCTGTGAGGGCCAGACCCCACTCTCCCTTGGACCAGAAACAAGAGGATCTCTCCCATGCCACACCCTCACTAGTCACCACCTTGGGCTGAGTCTTTGCTGTGAGACCGGAGAAGCACCTTCCTGCCCCACATGTATGGGGCTCAGGGCTGAAGTGACTCATGGGGGGGAAGAGTGTCCCCCCACATCCACACAAAACCTTTAGGTCGTGACCTTATTGGGAAACAAGGTCTTCGCAGATATGATTAGTTAAGAATCTTGGGATGAGATCATCCTGGATTTAAGGCTGGCTGTAAGTCCAAAGACTGATGTCTAGAAAGGACGCAGAGAGACACTGGGAGGAGGCTGTGTGAGGCCAGAGGCCAACGTGGGAGGACGCGGCCAGGAGCAGGGAGAGACAGGGAGGACTCTCCCTGGGAGCCTTCCGGGACAGTGTGGTGACCCTGCACGCACCTTGATGTAGGACTTGTAACCTCCAGACTGTGGAGGAACACATTTCTATTGTGTAGAGCCTCTTGGTTTGTCATAATGTGTTGCAGTAGCTCCAGGAAACTCTGACACCATCTTATAGACCGTGAAGATGAATGAGAACGTGTTAATAATGTTTCTGGCTACAGCGACTGCTTCAAATATCAACTTAAATGTTTCCTTCTCAAGAGGCCATACCAGTGGTGGTGGAAGCAAGGCCTCTGGATCGAGCCTGCCTGGGTTCACGTCCCAGCAGGTCCCAACTGTGTGGCTTCGGGCAAACTGCACTGCCTCTCTGTGCATTAACTTCCTTATCTGGAAACTGGGGATCCCAGTAGTCCCAATTCACTTGGTTGTCTGGAATGAGGGGGGTGGATCCACACAGAATGCACAAAATGGGGCTTTGTCCAGGCTAAGCCCCCAGTGAGAATTCACCATTCATTCTACTTGACGGGGTCATTCTGATTTCTGGAATTTATCCCAAACAAATCATAATTAAAAAAATCAGAAATCAGAGATGTTCGAAATGGCACTACTTACAAAAAGCAGTTAGAAACAATCCAAAGACCAACCCTCAGTGCAATGGGGACACAGGCGTTAGAGAGTGTTGGGGGATGCCTCTCCTGGCACCCAGATGCTGAGCACAAATGTGTCCCAGCCCCAGAGCCGGGTAAAAGCATGCCTGTGGGCAGCAAGGGCTGAGCCAGTAACATGGACACCGGTGTGCAGGGAAGGGGCCGCAGGGCACCGGAGCTCTGCATTTGTTGCGCACATGGCACATCCCCTACTAGAGGAGGAGGGTCTGGGGCCTCTGTGCTGGTGGGCCTGGGTCATCTTGGTTAAGCACAGAGAAGAGAATCCTGTACTCAGCTTCCTGCCCCATGCCTGTCACCTGCCCCATGTCCTGCCCCAAGAGACCTGCCACCTCCAGAGAATAAGGCTGGGTGAGGCTGGTGTGGGTAGGTGGCTGGCAGCCAAGGCCTGGTGGCAGGCCCCAACGAGCTGCAGTAAAAAATATGTGAGCAAATCTCACTGTCCCAGCAACATTCCAGCACTTAGCTCCTCCAGGTCCCAGCAATGTTCCAGCACTTAGCTCCTTCAGGGCCTGGTGGGAAGGTGGCTCTTTTAAAAGCCTCCATCACCAGGAGCATTCAGCCGCCCCCGGACAGGGGTGGGGAGATGGTGAGGGAGGGGTACAGTGGGATGTTCCCCGGGGACTCTTAGGGTCTGCAGGTCTGCATGTCCTCCCTGGTCGGACCCCCCACCCTGGGCTGAGCGGCCCTGGAGGGACCTCTGGTTTACTCGTCAAAGATGTCCTGGCACAGCAGCCAAAAGTGGAGGCAGCCCTGTGTCTGGGGAGGAATGAATGGGTAAACCAAACCTGGTTTATACACACAGGGGACTATAACTCAGCCTTTCAAAGGAAGCAAAGTCTGCCACCTGCCATAGCACGGAGGGACCTCCAGGGCATGCTGAGTGAGGTGAGCCCGGCAGGACAGGATAGATGCTGTATCACTCCTGTCACAGGAGGCCCCTAGAACAGGCAAAGTTACAGGGCCTGGAGTAGGGGGTGGGGCTGGGGAGTGAGTGTGTGACCAGGACAGAGCTCTCGGTTGCAAAGTGGACAAGGTCTGGAGGTGGATGGTGGGGACGGCTGCACAATGACATGAATGGACTTAATGCCACTGCACAGTACACTTACAAATGGTTAAGGCAGCAAATCTGATGTCACGTATATCTTACCACGGTTAAAAATGGAAACAAAATGCTCGTCCTGAATGCCTACTCTGTGGCCGGCCCCGGGAAAACCCGCGGGCAAGCCTAAGGGAAGAGGGTCCCTGAGCGCCAGGGGCTTAGTCTGGACGCCACCGCTGGGCCTCCACCCCACAGGTGCCCCCCACTCCTGCGTGGGCTCAGCTGCGGCCTCAGAGGGGCCAGGCCCTGGTGGGGGCGTGGGTCGCGAACGCCTCTCCAGTCAGGATCCCATCGCCACTTTGCAAACGATGCCCTGATTTTCTCCAGGGGCACCAGGGCTGCCCCCTTGCGCGGCGTCTAGAAGGAGCTGTCCATCAGGATGCCCCGCCCCTGTCCCGCCCCCTGGCTAGGGGGCGGGGCCTGAGCTCTGATTGGGGCCAACCTGAGGTTCTCCTGAGCTCACCCGTCCCAGCAGTGGGACCTTCCGGCGCCCCTGACCTCCTTCCGCGAAGTGATGGGGCCAGGAGCACCCTGACACATCCAGGAGGTGAGTCATTGCTGCTGGGCATGCCACATATGGGCAGGGGGCCATCAGAACGACTCCGATTTCGGGCTGGGGAGCATGGATCACTGAATAATGGGCTTCAAGGGGAGAGGTCTCTTTGTGGGCCATGCTGGTCTGAGTGCCTCCAGGTCATCCAGACGCTGGACACAAAGGTCCAGCTGCCTGAATGTCTGGGCTGCCTCTGCCAACACCTACAATATTCCCCCGTGATTCTGTGTCCTTTTAGGACCTACTCCAGCACCCAGCAAGCCGGGCCTCTTATGTCAGTGATAACAGGCCTACAAGGTGGACAGCCAATGCCCCAGTATGCGCCTATCAGGGGCTCTTTCTCCCTTATTTCCCACAGGTGGGATTAATCCCCCTGATGGAGAAGCCAAGGCCCAAGGGCACTGTGGCTGTCCCACATCACTCACCTGTCAGTGAGCAGGGAGGCCTGAGGGGTGCTCAGAGTCAGCGTGAGCATGTAGAAGGCACCTGCTGTGTATCGATGCTGCCTGCGGTGGCAGTCCCTTCCCTCTCCAGGGTGAGCACATCTGTGCTCTCTCCTGCCTCATTCCTTCACTACCCCCACCACCTCCCCTAGCCCCGGAAGAACTGGTGGGGGTGTTGCCCCCCCTTACCTTTCAGGCAGGACAGCTTAAGCCCCATGGTGGTGCCTCTGTGGCCTGTGAAGAGAGAAGGGGCTTGTTTAGGATTGGCCATGTGCACCCCCCCCTCAACGGATACACAACAGGAAGTAGTGGGGAGAGAAACTGCCAGTCACCGGTGAGGTCAGGGTGCGTGCTGACTACATCTGGGCTGAATTTGCTCAAAGATGAGTGTGTGCTAGTGGAAAACATTTTCAGGTGCCTCAGAGCTCAATGTACTAGAGATGTGGAGTATGGGGCACAGTGGAGGCGACAGCGTGGTTGGGGGGCTGACGTTGGTTCTGAACCAAGGTCCCCCGGCCATTTCTTTTAGGGGTTGCTGACAGTGGCTGGCTTCAGGAGCAGGAGGACATGAGGACCCTTGGGCCAGGCTGTGGGGTGGCCCTAAGCCCACCATGGTGGGCTCACCTTCTGTTAGGGCGCTGCTCCTCTTTTAAATGCATGTTCTTTGGACACCTAATGGATCAAGGGCACATAGGCCTCAGTCTGTGGGACTTAACATTGTCCCAAGCAGCATTCCCACAGTCTGCCAGTAGTGTGATGCGTCCTTAGCATTCTGAGTGATGAATAAAACAGGCAGCACCTGATGGTGCTCAGCACCTGGGTGCTCTTGACGATTCTCAGCAATAATCCCTGGGAGGTGCTACTACTGTCCCCACTCACAGATGTGCAAATCAAGGCTCTGAGAGCTGGGATTGCAACCCCAGGACCACCCCCCAGGGGCCTGGAAGGGCAAGCTAGTCCCTCCATTCACAGGGAGCTGCCCTTGTGCCAGGCTAGGTGGGGAAAGGGGGTGAGGGGGTGGCCACGAGAGGAGCCCCTCAGATCTCCTCTGCAGGTGTGTGACCAAGGCCCGGCACTGTGCTCTGAAACCTGTCATCTCGTCCTGCACAGAGGCCAGCATTTACGGCTAGGAAATGCTGGGGTCCCCCAGGCACTCACTACACAGGCTGTGCTGGTGGACCCGCAACCTTGGCCCCCTCAGGGAGCTTGTTAGCAATGCAGCATCTCAGGCACACCCAGACGCACGGAGCCAGAATCTGTATTTTAACAAGGCCCCCTGGGAGCCATGTGCCTGTTAAGGTCTGAGAAGCTCGCTCTGGGCCAGAGATTGTGGAGACTTAAGGAAGACAGAGAGGGGTGGGGTGAGGGTAGGGAGGTGCGGGAGAGGGGGGTGGGGACAGTGAGGGTGTGGAGAAGCAGCTGGAAGTCTGGGAGACATGCAGGCCCAGGAGATGGTGGGACCAGGAGGGGCTGGTTTGGAGAAACCCAGGGTGAGGGCTTTGATTTTATCCAGGTTGGGTTTGCGGGACACGTAGGAAGGAGGTGGCCTGCAGACATCTGCTAGGAGATGGGCTGGGGGGATTGGGGAAGAGGCAGCAGAGCATGAGAGAGTGGGAGGGAGAGAGACAGACACGGGGGAATGTCTACTGACTTGACGGCAGGCGCTGGAGCTGTGTGCCCTCCTGGCCGGCCCAGAGCCTGGCTGAGCCAGGTGACCACAGGTGGGTTCCTCAACCAACCTAGACTTCACTTTCCTTGTCTTGAAAACAGGGATGATGCTCTTGGCATCTGAGCATCTTGGCACTGAGCAGCACGGAAGACTGTATTATCAGGAGGGCACACGGCTCAGGCTTGAGCAGTGTCAGATGCTATTATTTATGACAGCCACGGAGGGAAGACAGGTAGTGGCTTCCAGCTGGGGCCTTTCTCCAGGGCCGTGCTATCCAGTGTGGTCTTGGACCAGCAGCATGGGACCACCCGGAGCTTGTGAGAGATGCAGGCTCTCAGGCCCCGCCCCGCCTGCAGGCTGAGAGGAGCTGCCTCTCAACCAGACCCAGGGGATGCTCATTACCGCTGCAGAGACTCAGCGAATTCGCCCGGGCACTTAAGAAGATACAGATGCCTGGGGCCCACCCCAGAGATTCTGGGGTAATTGGCTTGGAGTGTGGGCCTGGCACCAGGATTTTTTTTTTTTTAAAGCTCACCAGGGGAGACTGATGTGCAGGATGAGATGCCAATGAGAGGGGATCCTTCTTCAGGGGGAGAGGAAGGATCAGGCTGAAAGAAGAGAGACACCAAGGCCAGGCATGTGGGAATAACAGGCGTCATCTCTTGAGCGTTTGCTGTGTGCTCAGCATTTGTCAGAGCCCTGGACCCGTGGACCCCTAGACTGAGGTCCCTGGTCCGTTAATGCTCACAACAGCCCAGAGAGGTTGGGACCATCCTCATTTCAGAGGAGGAAACAGAGGCATGGGGAGGTTAGTTAATTTGCCCAAGGTTGTAGGGATAGCAAGAGGTGGGGTCAGGATTCAAACCCAGCACTTTGAACCTTAGAGCCACAATATTTTCAGCTACAGGGCTCTGCAGGGCAGATGGGCGGGAATGTTAAGCAGGGAGTGGCATAGACCTTACCCTGTCTCTCCCAACCCTCCCCAGGCTGGGTCTCCAGCCCAGAGGTCTGCAGCCTTGACTTCGGGCTCGTGAACAAATACGCCCAGGACCCCCAACTGGCCACTGTGAGCAGCACACACAACATCGCAGCCTAGTACAGACACACTGTACACAGTGCACCCCGACTTCACTGTGTGCTTCTGTGAAGTCTTTAATTGGTGGCCACAGCGTACCCCATAGGTCTTATGGGCGCCCCATCCCAGGGTTTAGACAATGATTTATGTGGAAGTCCTCCCGCAGGAAATGATGTTAGGACTTTGCAATAAAATACTCCAGAAAAACTAGCTCCGTGCCATGGGCACCGGGGAACAACACGGTCGGGGCCAAGGCATCAAAGTGAAGAGGTGGGAGTTCATTACATATTTTTGTGTGTGTTTGAAAAATACTAAAATGTCAAAAGAAAGACAACTGTCTATGAGGTGACAGGATGGGGCCAATGTTTAGTTTTCTGAGCCTGATCATTGGACCGAGTCTGTAAGAGACAGTTCCTGCTCTCAGGACACAGCCGCCCAGGTGTCTGGGCTCAGAGGCCATCATGCCTGCAGGTGTAACTCTCGGATGGCCCAGCTAGAAAATCAACAAAGCCATGTGTACAACAGAGAGAGACCCTAAAGGAAATGTGGCTAAATGCTCATCTCCGGGGAAGGACATGGGGTGCTTTATGTTCTTGCAACTTTTCTGGAAGCTTCAAACTATTTCAAGAGAGGTCAACCAGGGAAAGAAAAGCAGAGAAAGAGCAGCAACAGGGGTCCCACAGTCTCTGTGCCCACCAATGCCTCCCCAGCTGTGGCCCAGAGAGTTCTGTGCATCAGACACTATTTTCCTAGAAACTTCTCTGATGCAGTTGTAGCTGCGTTCAGGGGACTGTGGCTGTGGTCTGGGGAAGGCTGTGCTATTTTATGCCAGGAGTACCACTTCCCCAAGAGTTGTCCTGAACTGATAGGTGTTGTCTCTAAAGCTGTCTTGTAACTTGAAAAACACTCATTTCAAAACATTCAGGAGGGAAGGAGGAAGGAGGTAAGGAGAAGGAAGGAGAGAAGAAGGGAGGAAGGGAAGAGGCAGGGAGAATAAAGAACAGCCAGATCAAGGAAGCAAGAGGAGGAGGGGGAACGAGGACTGGCCCCAGTCTGGATTCCGGGGACACAGGGACAAGAAGCTGCACTGAGGTTATACAAAGGTCACGCCACAGAGTCATGTCAGTGTGTAGGGATTCTGTGTCAGCTTTCTACAATTCCCAAATGGAGAATTTTTATAAACCGCCGTTTTTTTTTTTTGTCCCAGCATATGGGCCATAACTCTGGTCATCCTGCTTCTACCTCTGCACGGGGACAGAAACCAGGCAGCAGGTGGGGAGCGGACCAGAGGAACACGGAAGAACCAGGGTCTGAGAGCTGTGTGATCTCAGGCATGTCGTTTCCCTCTCTGAGTCTCAGGAGCTGAAGTTGGGCTCCCCGGGCTCTGTGTCCTCATCTGTAAAAACGGGTGTCCTGCCACTAGCCTGGGGGATGGTCGCCACTGTCACCCAGCACTCCTGCGAAGGCCTGGCATTAGAAGACAACAGGGGGCAACCCGTGTTGGGGCCCCTTGTTTGGAGGTATGGGCTGCTGTGTCAGGAGGGGGAGCTCCCAGGGGTGATCCACCTGCAGCCACGGATACAAGCCGTGTCCACTCCATCCCTTTGTGATGGAGCTGTTGGTGGGGGCCATCTAGGCAGAGACTAGCAAGGCTTTGGTGGGAGAGAGCCCAGGGGATGGGACGAGCTGTCTGCAAGGGAGAAGCACAAGCCTGATTCCACAACCATGTGAATGGGGGCCTGACTGTGGGGAGCGAAGCTGCTTCTACCATAAACTCCTTCACTGTCATCACTGTGGCAATGAATGCTGACAGATACCCAGTTAATGCTTTTAAGAGGCCAAATCCTGGGCCAGGATAATTATAAAAATTAATTCCCCTGGACCCTAACAATGCCCTAAGAGATAAACATTACTACTACCCCATTTTGCGGATGGAGCAGGGCATGGAGCTCTGAGGGGTCCAGGGGCTAGTAAGCTGCAGCCGAGGCCCAGGACCCGTCCTGGCGCTTAGCTTCAGCACCCCATCCTTCCATAGGCCATGTTTGTAACAAAGATACAGATTTTTGCAATCAGGAAAAAGAGCTTTAAGGGAGGGAAGAAAAGATCGATGGGAGGGGTCCCCCTTAGCTCAGCAAGATGGCACAAGTGCAGTCAGGCCCGGGAGAACTGCTAGTTTAGGTCTAAATGTTCTCTCTCTCACACTCTTGCAGGAGTGTGAAAAACCTCCCTTTCATATTGAATCGGGCTGTTTATGCTCCCTCTGAAATATCAGATTGTTAATTATTTGCACAACAGCTTGAAGTAGAACAGGTTCTTTCTTGCATCCAGGCATAAAAATCTCTCTACCACCAAATGGCCACAACAGGATCCTCTTCTGGCGATAGGGACGGGCAATGATACTCACTTCCTTCCTCCTGCAGGGGTCTGTCTCTCCTCTGAGCAATCGAGATAGAAGGGTATCAGCTGCTTTGCACACCACAGTGTTCTCTAAAACCATGAGCATCTCCAGGGGAAGGACACACTTGGCCAAATTGTCTGTTACTGTTTTGATAGCCGCTTGGAAGATACTACCAGCCCACAGCCGTGAAAGCTTCCCAGCTCACCTTCTACATGTTTGCCATGCAGAGAAAAGTAAACCATATACTTGTTCTCGGCACAAAATAAAAAGTAATTAAGATGTAGCACTCCCTATCCAACATATAGAACCACGGACTGACTGGGGGGACCCTACTTCTTGAAGTCTGGCCTAGTGCAGGCTGATTTCCTTCAGTTACTTCTTTTGTGGATCAGAGGTCGGGCTCTAGAGTGTGAGGGAGAGTCTTTCTGGGGTGAATCATACAAATCTACAGCTAGAAGTGGCCGTAGATAAAAGGCTCCAGGTAAAATATGCAGCCCTAATTTCTGCATGGGACATACTCATACCCCAAATCCTTCATCATTAACCCACAATTTAAACATAACTGGGGGGACACCTGGGTGGCTTAGTGGTTGAGCATCTGCCTTTGGCTCAGGTCGTGATGCCGGGGTCCTGGGATCAAGTTTTACATTGGGCTCCCCGCAGGGAGCCTGCTTCTCCTTCTGCCTATGTCTCTGCCTCTCTCTGTATGTCTCCCATGAATAAATAAATACAAGCTTAAAAAAATAAATGTAACTGGGTGTCCCCCTCTTTTTTTTAAAGATTTTATTTATTTATTCATAGAGACACAGAGAGAGAATGAGAGGCAGAGACACAGGCAGAGGGAGAAGCAGGCTCCATGCAGAGAGCCTGACGTGGGACTCGATCCAGGGTCTCCAGGATCACAGGCGGCACTAAACCGCTGCGCTACCGGGGCTGCCCCCCCCCCTTTTTAAAGATTTTATTTTTAAGTAATCTCTACACTCATCGTGGGGCTTGAACTCATGACCCTGAGATCAAGAGTCACATGCTCCACCACCTGAGCCAACCAGAGGCATCCTGCATTTTATTTGCTAAATCTGGCATCTCTCCACAGAGGTGGTCTTGGTTCTAACAGGGGTCTCCCAGATGAAGACATGGAGGCCCAGGGAAGGAAGGTGAGTGAAAGGCTGAGTCCAGCTGGAAGTCTGATCTTTGTCTCTGTAGAGCCACCTCCTAGATGGAATTGGAATGATCCTCTGGAGGTCGTGATTCACTCCTTAACAAAGACCTCACTTGAGGCCCAAGGAGAGGGCAGGGGTGAAGAATCATAGCTAAGGAATGTGACAGTTTGCCTAGGGGGGAGGACCCAGCAGTGAGGATGGAACCAGGTGCCCCGCGCAGCCGGGGGCTGTAGGCAAGCTCTCTATACCTGTTCCCTTACTGCCAACACAGGGAAGAAGGTTCTAACAGGCTGGCCATGCTGGGCTTCCATTAGGCACAAGGTACATCTTGGTTTTCTTCCTTCTTTAGAAAAGGCACTTTCTTTTTGTAACAGGATTAGAATTCCTGCAACTCCAGCCAGAGGGTCTGTGCTGGGAACAGATGCTACAAGCGTTAACATGCCTCCCATCCTGGTACACAGACTGCAAACATGAGCATCTCCCTGGCCTTAGCCCACGGACCTGCAGGAGGCGGTGAGCTCCTCTCTCAGGGGAAGTGAGGACAGCTGCTAGGCCCACAGTGGCTCACAACAGGAAGTGAAAGAGGATGGGGGTGGGGAGGCCAAGGAACCCACTGAAATCCCCTCCTACTTATTTATTTATGAGAGAGAGAGAGAGAGGCAGAGGGAGAAGCAGGCTCCATGCAGGGAGCTTGACGTGGGACTCGATCCCAGGTCTCCAGGACCACACCCCAGGCTGAAGGCGGCACTAAACCGCTGAGCCACGGGGCTGCCCTCCCCTCCTACTTTTCTGTCATGGAGAAGAGTCCTGGGCCACCTGGGGTCCAGCCTTGGCCTCCCTGTGATTGACCACATAACTCTAAGCAAAATACTTGCCCACGGCCAGCTCTGGGACTCTGTGTGATCAAGCTCAATGCTTATGGTTTGTGTTTCTTTTCATATGATCTATGTTAATAAAAATGTTTATTTAAAAATAAGGAGTATGCTATTAGAAGTCAAGTTAATGCTTAATTAACCACAGGGTTGATTTAAAAATATGCAATTAAATTTTTTTTCTCAAGTAGGCTCTATGCCCACCCAATGTGGGGCTCGAACTCAAAACCCTGAGAGTGAGAGTTGTATGCTCTTCTGAGCCAGCCAGGTGCCCCCCCAAACATGCAGTTGTTTCTTACAGCAGCCTTGAGGATAGGAGACACAAACTACCAGCCCGTCTAAGTGAGTACCTGCCAGCTCATGCCCTGAAGGTTTCCAGTGCAAAGAGAAAAGTAAACTGGATGTGGCATTGCCTCTGGGAGACGTGGAACCACCACCGGCTCCTGAGGGACATTGCAGCAGGGAGGGGCAGGAGGAGATTCCTGGGGAAGTTCTGTTTCCGGTTCTGGGTGCACACTTCTGGTGTGCACATATACCATACATGTGTTATACCTTAATAATATTTTAATGGGAGGGTGCATGTGCATGTTGCACTTGCTGGTCCCAGAGGCCTGGCCTGGCCCCTGCCACATTCAAAAGCAATTCTTGAGGTGTGGCAGCTAGGGGTTCAAGGCCTGGCCCTGCCACTTGCCACCCCATGACCTTTACAAGCCTCTGTGTCTTCGTCTGTAAAATGAGGATAACACGACTTCTTGGTTGGAAGATGAAGAGGGACAAGGCAAGTGACAGGAACCGGCTCTTACTGCTGCGGGGTCTGGCACACGGCAAGTGCGCCATACATATTAGATAGCGCTGCTCTCTTTCCACGCCCACTGGGGGATGTTCCGAGCTCCAGTCCTCAGGGGTGACCTCAACTCTGGCTCCGTGTCCACTTAGCTGCACCCCACAAGCAAGGGAAGGGCTTCCAGGGAGAGGAGATTAGGTGGTGAGGCTTTCAGCTTCCTTGGGGCTTGCAGAGGGATTAAGTCTTTCCATAAATACATCGCCTGCCTCCCTCCACCCCCTCATCCATCCATCCATTCATCCATCTGGAGGAATCAGTAGCCAGGGTGGGGACAAAGATCCCAAGGTGGGTGTGGCCTGGACAGGTAAAGGTGTGGGGACAGGTGAAGGCATTCCTGGGGGTTGGGCTGGAAATGCCAGGGCCTGCCAATCCAGCTCTGCTTCTGTGCCTCAGTTTCCCTATCTACAGAATGGGGTGTTTGCGCCACGAATGCTGCACCCTCTCAGAAGTGCCTCCCATCTGCCCTTCCTCGGTGATCCCCTAGCTGGTCAGCCAGCAGAGCCAGACTCTCCAGGCGGTTCCGCGGCGGCCCAGCGCCCAGCGCCCAGCGCCCCTGCCCCACCCCCTGCCCCACCCCCTGCCCCGGCCAGCCCAGCCCAGCCCAGCCCAGCGTCTCCCGGGGCGCCGCGCTCAGCGTGCGTTCACACTGGTCGCCCTTTGCGGTCGCAAACCTGCTTTGAAGCCCTGGGAGCCAACGGGGGCCCCTAAGTGAGGCGGCTCATAAATAATAGAGTTTGAAATACTCGATAGAGGGGAAATGGTTCCTCTGGAGGCCTCCCGCCCCCACCCCGGGCCGGGCTGCGCTCCAGCTCCCAGGAATGGCGGTCTGGCCCGTTCCCGGGAACTCGTGACAGCGCGGGGTGTCGGGCTGAGAGTGGGGGGCGGACACCCCCGCCCCCGCCCCGCCCCCGCCCCGGGGAGCCGCGCACCGCAGAGCTCTGGGCTCAACTTTCCCCACACCCGCGTCTCCGCAGAGCGGTCTGCGCGGAGTTGGGGGCCGCCCGGCCCGCGCCCCCCGGCGCCCCCGCCCCCGCGCCCCCGCCTCCCTGGGCGCCCCCCGCCTCCCTGGGCGCCCCGGCCGGGCGGGCTGCGGCCGGCGGGGAGCGCGGGGTCCTCCGGCAGCGGCGGGGCGGGGCGGGGCGGGGCGGGTCGCGGGGCACTCACCGCTTCCTGGGGGGCTCACTGCGGAGCCGCGCCCGGGGCGCACGGGGCCCGCCCGGGCGCTGGCGGGGGCGGCGGGGGCGGCGGGGGCGGCGGGGGCGGCGGCGGCCGGGCTCCGGGGACCGGGGCGACGAGCCTGCGAGAGTGAGCAGCGGGGGTCATGGCCCGGCCGGGCAGCGCGGGCCCCCGCTCCGCCCCGGCCGCCGCTCGGGCCGCCGCCGCGCGCACGCCTCCGGCCGCCCCCTCCCCGGCCCCTCGGGGCGGCGCTGCCCCTGGCCCCGCCCCGCCCGCGGGCGCCGGGTGGCTCGGGCCGGGGAGGGGGCGGAGCAGGCCCGCCCGCCGCCTCCCGGGGACCGTGCCAGGGGCGCGCCCGGCGCCCGCCTCGGTTCCCTCGCGCCCGGCCTGGGGAGGGGGGGAGGGGGGAGGGCGGGGCCCGGGGAAAGTTGGGGCCCCTCCCCGGGGCTGCGTGCCAGGCTGCCCGAGGCCGTGCACCCCAGCCCAGGTTGGGTGGGAAGGGGCGCGGGGCTCTCCCGGGCCAGGTGGCCACAGAGGAGTGGGCCCCATCGCCAGGCTGCGGAGAGGGGAGCCCAGGGGTGCGAGGTTCCACCTTCTCGCCAGCCCTAGCGCCCTACCCCTGCTCCAGGGGCTGGGGTGGGGGCGGGACAAGTAAGCAACGCCCCTCCCCCCTCTTGGGAGAGCTGTGGGTCTTCAGAGGGCCCTCGGGATCAAAAGGGGGCCTGGCCTCCCTGGTGTCGGGTTCCGGTTCGGGCCCTTCCACCCTCCACTTCTCGAGGTAAACCCCGGGTGCAGCCAGAGGGGGCATGAAGACTTGCCTCCTGGCCCGCTGCGCCGGCTTCAGGTTTTTGCTGATGCCCAGCTGGGAGTAACTCCAGTTCCCCTCCGGTGGGTGTGGAGGCCTTTTAACCAAATGGCTTTCTTAGGAGGCTGCCTGATGAGAAGGTCTCTGCTGGCACCTTCCCAGCGAGCCAGGAGGAACAAAAGTACCCCCTACCGTGGGTTCTTTATGTCACTGTCAGAAGCCCCTCATGCCAGCTCCAGCTTTCAAGCCCAAGGTCTCCACACCCTGTGCTGTGTGTACTTTTGGAGGCTTGGAGGGGGAAACCGAGTCACAGCACGGCAGTGGCACTCCGTTGGCAAAAGCAGGAAAGAATTCAGTGGCAGAAATAGAGTCAGCATCCTAGCTGTGTTCTCCCTTTGAGTCATTCCTAAAAATGTTGCAATCTTTTGTATCAAGTTAGGAGTGACAGGTAGAAAGTGTATCATGTACACTGCCCTCCTCCACCCAAGAGAAGAACAGAGGGAGAAGGGGGAAGGGTTACGGACAGCTGCCCCCCCCCTCAAGAGAAGGACAGAAGGGGGAAGGGTTAGGGACAGGGTGTTCCTTCCAAGGGTCCCCAGTCCCCACCCTCGGAAGGAAGGTGGGCTGTCCAGGGTCTTGTGTCCTGGCTGTGAGCTGTGGGGCAGGGCTGCTCTGAACGGTCTCCTTTAATGGTGGTGACAGAGGTGCAGGGAAGCCTGCAAGGACGGTGGGCACAGCCACCAGGTCCTTGTTCTGGCATGGTGAAGAACCAAAGAGGCCTTTTCTGCAGGCAGAGAAGCCCTCAGCAGGCTGAACTAATGCTCGGTGCTGCTTGTGAGCTCAGCCTGTTTCTGGGTCTCAGTTTCCAACCAGGACAAATGGTAATTTATTATTTCTATAAATGCTTTTTGAGCACCTACTCTGTGCCGGGCCCCAGTGTACCTCAGTGAATGGACAACTGTCGCTGACAGTGCCACCTATGCCCACAACCCCCATGTCACCACCTGCTCAGGACAGCCCTGCGAGGGGGAGACATTTATTCTGTCCATTTCCCTGCGGCCTGTGGCACAGGATGTCACAGGTCACCCAACTAGTGGGCTCTGTGGCCCCAAGCCAAGGGAGGAGCCTCCAGCCTCAGGCAGGGTGGCTGTTAATGAGAGGCAGCCAGGAGGATGAGTTGTTCAACTGTATGGGTTGAGGTGAGGAATAGAAATAATCCAGTTTAAATTGCTTCCTCCCCCAGGAGTCCTCGGTCTCCTGAGAGCAGTTCCAGGGTCGGAATATCTGCATCTGCAGATCTGCACCTGAGGTCCGAGGCTGGGTCATTCTTTGTCATGGGGTCCCGTCCTGGACACTGTGGGATATTGAGCAGCATCCCTGCCCTTCACCCACTAGAGGCCACTAGCATCACCTCCCTTCTCCATGTTGTGACAACTAGACACTGCCACCTGTCCACTGGGGGGTGCAATCACCTGAATGTATTCCAGTGGTTCCCATCCCTGGTGGTCTGGCATGCTGGTGTCCACAGGGGGTGGGGAGGGTGGGTAGGTGGGGAGCTTAACGAGTAAATAAATAAAAACGCATAAAGCAAGCACTCAGGCCCAGGCTCATGTCTGGGATCTGCACCCAATTGGTCCAGGTAAAGTCCAGGTATGGGTGTGTTGTAAAAACTCCCAGGTGGCATCGGGACGCCTGGGTTGCCCAGTTAAGTGTCCAACTCTTGATTTTGGCTCAGATGGTGATCTCAGGGTCATGAGATGGAGCCCAGCATCCAGCTCTGCCCTGCGGGTGGAGCCTGCTTGAGATTCTCTCCCTCCCCCTCTGCACCTCCCCCACCCCCACACATGCCCCTCCCCAATAAATTCTTTAAAAACTCCCGGGTGACATTAATTGGCTGGTCCCATGGAGAACCTCAAATTTAGCCTCAGAGCCCATGTGGAAGACTAGAGAGTTGGGACAAATCAACCAAGTGAAGTATGTGAAATGTGTACAGATCGATTTGAACAAACCCATTCATTGTAAAAAGATATTTGTGAGTTAATAGTGGAAAATGGACCATAGCCTGGGTTATTAGATAATATTAAGAAATTATTACCAATTTGAATGGATGTGACTGGCATCATCGTGCTTTTAAAAGCCTTTATCTATTAGCAATACATATGCAAACGTTATTTATGACTGAATTAGTATGAAGACCAAGTTTGCTCTATTAGTGTCCAGGAAAATGAAAAGATGGAAGAGAGAGGGAGGAGAGAGACAAAATAATGATGGAAAGTATTGATAATTGTTGAAGTTATGTGGAGATTCATTATGCTATTCTACTTCTTTTTAAATAATTTGTTTAAAAAATTATTAGAGAGAGAGAGAGAGAGAGTGCACAAGCGGGGGGGAGTGGCAGAGGGAGAGGGAGAAGCAGGCTCCAGGCTGAGCAGCGTGCCAGACTCAGGGCTCGACACGGGGCTTGACCCTAGAATCCTGGGATCATGACCTGAGCCGAAGGCAGACACTTCACCGACTCAGTCACCCAGGTGTCTGGATTCTCTCTACTTCTATGTATGTTTGCAATTTTCCAAAATTTGGGCACCTGGCTGGCTCAGTTGGTGGATCTGGGAATCATGAGTTGAAACCCCACGTTGGGTGGAGAGATTACTTAAATAAATCTTAAAAAAAAAAAAAGAGAGAGATTTTTCCAAAATAAAGAGAAACCTTTTGTTTTAAAAAGAGAGAGAAAACCTATGTAGACACTTTTCCTGGCAGCCAGGTGAGGTGCCTACCTCCAGGAACTTGGTCTTGGTTTGGGGGTGGGGACAGGTAAAGGGAAGCTGGTAGTGGGGACTTTGTGGGTTCTGGGAGGAGAGGCAGACTCAGAGGGTTCACCTTGCACCTCCACCTGGAAGCAGCCATGAACCCCCAGACCCTGGAGACTAAGCTAAGCCAGAGGCCTCATACCTGCTCTGATCAGAATCATCTGGCACTTTGGGAAAAGGCTGGTGCTGCCGCCCAGGGGGAGATTCGTCAGGTGTGAACCTGGCTGGGTGGCTGTGAAGTCAGGCGCCTGAAACCTGTCCCCCAAAGCCCTTCCTTCTCAGCCCCAAGCCCCTTGGTCTGAGAGTAAGTAGAACAGCCAGAGCAATTCCTCCCCACTCCTCCCCCTGGGGATTAATGCGGGGACAGCTTTGCTGATTCAGCAAGAGTTCTCAACAGTGACTGCGTGCCCTCCACGTGCCAGGCACGGCTCCAGGCTCTAGTGAGTGACCCAGCCCGTCGAGAACTCTTGCCCTGTGGATGTTAGTCTGTGTGCTGAGTTTTCTGCTGTGAAGGGTGGGGGTGGGGAGCTAAAACTTGGGAAAAGGTGGACAAGAAGAGGCTCTTGGAGTAATAACTCCCTCGAGGGCTTCGGGAGGAAATGCTTCCTGTGGGATTCCGGGTTCAGGGTATGGCCCAAGGATGGTAGAAAAGGGTCCACAGTTGTAGGACCACTTCCTCCTCCTGAAATACCTCCTCCCCCTCTGCCCTTGCCCCGAGAGCCCCCTCCCGACTTTCAGAGCTCTATGCAGGCGTCCCTTTGCAGTCTGGAACTGCATCCTGTCCTGGGTTTGCTGTCACTAGCAGGTAAGCCCCCAGGGGGCAGGGACTAGGTCCGCTTTGCTGACCGTCATATCCCTGGCACCGGGTGGACACTCCATACTTCAGAACAAATAGGGTTTGACTGAGTGGATGAAGAACCTCAAGTCCTCAGTAGAGAAGCAGATGATAGAGCCCATTCCCAAAGGGAGCCATTTGCCAAAATGCCAAACCAGCGCAGGGGGCCGGGGAGCTGCAGGGGACTGGGCACAGGGAGGCGGCTGGTTCTGTCTACGGGTCCTGGCTTGCTTGTGCCCCTCCTCAGTTGTCATAACCTGGCAGCAGGGATGAGGAGGGTGGCCGTGGTGACATCAGGGCTGCATCAGGAGATGGGGCTGGAGGCAGCGAAGGGGAGGGCAGGCGTGATTGCCGCCCTGGGCACTTTCTGGTCCAGGAAGGACTTTAGGGCAGACCCCAGGCTCAGCGAGGGGTAAGGGGTTGGAGACCATCCCAGTTCAGGACAACCTGTGACGTGGCAGCAGGGTGGGACAGTGGGGGTTCCTGCAGGCTGGCCTCCTAGCAGACCTCCCTCATGGGTCTGAGAAGCTTGGGCCTTCCCGGTCACTATGGCACAACCACCTTGTACCCTGGGGGCACCATCCAGTCACAGGTGGCTTTGGAGGGATCTGGGTCATCCAACATAG